ATTTCTTATCCTTACTAGCCCACTCTTGCTTCCTTCACCAGCAGTCTCCTTGAATCACACTGCTCAGTTATAAACACAGCGAGCCCCAATGTGGGGCTCTGAGCGGTTGCCCAGATTTCTAATACCTAGCTCTTGTCACTTCATGGGGATGATGACCCTCAGCTCTGCTGTCCTCAAAGTTGTGACTTCATTTAACCTAGAGTGATGACAAGTTGAAAAGTAGTCTCTGTGTTCATCTGGACCTCTTTTAACAGCTTTTTATTTGCATGTGTTTCTATTGAGAAAACAGTGAGAAATTAAAGAATTTTTCAAGTCCTGGCCCTAAAACTAGATCTGCCAACCTTTTTTCAGGAAAGGGTAGAAACCCTTTCCAGGCTCCCTAGGCTGTGAGCTCACACAGGGCAGGGCCTAGGCCCCTTCTCCGCGTTCACCTGGTGTGTGATAGTGGCTTGCCCACCTGCAAAGGGGAAGAAGAGAGCTATTCTTTAAGCCTGCTGTGCACCCCATTTCAGACGAAGTTTGACCTCTTTGCCGCCTGCTTCCTTTTGGAGATACCTTCCAACTGGATGGTGGGGAATGTGGCTCAGATTTACAGCTAACACTTATATTCATCTTACTATGTTTCATGCACTGTTCTAAGGACTTTTATGTATATGCATATGTAAATATACATGCAAGCATGTATACATACTCATTGCAACAGCTTTACAAAGTAAGAATTGTTTTATACTCATTTTATAGATTAGGAAATGGAGGCCCAAAGAAGTAATTTGTCCCCAGGTCACACAACTGGTTAGTGGCAGAGTTAGTATTCAGATCCTAGCAGACTAGTCCAGAGCCTTAATTAATAAATATATAAACTCACTTCCCAGTGTCTAGAAGAAAGGTTTCACTTAGGAAAATGTCAGGAGGGTGTCTTTCTTTAAGGGGTTAGCCTTCTCTCATAGTCAAGAATGAAAATAATATTTTTAAAACTTACCTTTTGTGGAGACATTTGGATATACAACTATCATTTCTTTGCTTTCTTCAGTAGCAGAATTATGGGACAAGTGTGTCATGTGTCAAACACTCTTAAAGGTGAGGGAATTGCATTCCTTTGTAGGTGCCCAGGGACAGTGGAGCGGCAGGCAGGAGGGAGAGTGAAGGAGGGAGGGAAAAGGAAACAAGGCGATGTTGCAATAGGAAGGTAAATTGTATGGGAAACACTGTTTCTTCTCTATCTGATAACACAAGGGATTATAGAAGCCTCCTCCAAGCAAATATTGATTTCTTGTTCTTGAGAAGACTTTCTAAACTTCGTATACTTATATTCTATGAAATACCAGATTATTAGAAAAAGAACCTTCTTCATGCAGTCTGAAAAAACGTGTGTGTGCCTAGAACTTCCCTGGAAGGGAATCTCCCACTAACTATCACAGATAAATATGCATATACACTTGTTTTAGCAATCCCGCTTTTGATAATCTGTCCTCTAGAAATAAAAGTTCCAGTTGATTTACTAGTGTGAGGAAGGAATGGGCAGGTGAGTAATGCATTTTAAGAAGGAGCCTGCCTATAGGTGAGATTGCTCTTTTCATTGTGGTAGAGTATGAGTTGCTTCTGTTCTTACTAAAGTCTCTCAGAATTAGAACATGGAGTTGGAGTTCTGTCTCTCTGATGTCATTCTGCACATTTCTCTTGTGAACAGTGAATTCTAAGAGGCACACTTATATCCTGAGTCACCCTGTTTGGGAATCATGGAGAATATACAGGGCATATTAGATTGTATTGTAAAAGAAAGGGTTCTTGTCTTGTTCTTCTGTGACATTTGTCAAGCTTCTGTTCTTTACTTGAAAACCATGACTTAGCTTTGTGTTGTTTTGATGAAAGCAATGGTTTAGGCCTGGGGTGTTGGGGAAAACGTTGGTGCTGGGGTGTGTGTGGTTTTTTTTTTGAAAGTCACCTACTGGTGCAATTCAGGGATGCTGAATTTCTCTCAAAACGTCCACCCGCTTTTCTCCTACGCTTCCCATTCACACTACACGGACTTGATTTTACTTACCAGTTACAAGTTCCATGTGGAGTCTATTCTAGTAGATCTGAGTTTGTACTGGTTGAGTTTAGTAAGAAATTAGACCTATACTTCAGATTCATTATTGGGGATTTTTATGTTGTTGCTGTTGTTTCAAAAAAGCTGTGGTTCAGTAATAATTTGAGTTTAGCTCACTCAGTTTTGAACATTCTAGCATGGGGGGGTGCAACACTGGAGTCCTCATTTCTGAGTTTGAATCCTGGGAGTGGAAGCGATTATTCAGCCTCGCTAAGTCTTGTAAGAGTGGGGATCGTAACAATGGTTGTTTTGAAGACTGAAAAAGGTAATGGATATAATTCTGCTTGACAGATGTCCACTAACTCTGTTGCCACTGTCACCACCATCACCGTCATCATCATCTTTTTTCCCCATGAGGGGAACCATGTTCTGGTCCTGGCTTTTTACCACTTAAGTGGAGAAGGCTGCTGTGGTTATAGAGAGGCTACCTGTGAATTAAAGAAATGGGAGGTGAGGCCACCTGGTAGTAACAACTCATAATAGATTGCTTTTATAGTTATATATCCTTCAAAATAACTTAGAGGACATAACCTTTGAAGCCTAAATTTAATGGATCCATTTTAAAATTTAGGTAGTTTCAACAACTATTGGATTTTATGGCCAGAAACGTCTGTTTGTGGTTTCAATTGTGAAAATTTGGTTAAGTCTATAATCTGTTAACAAAAAGGAAGAGTTGAAAATCACATCAGCATGGTGTCTTAGTCCGCTGGGACTGCCATAACAAAATACTACAGACTGGGTGGCTTAAACAACAAAAATTTATTTTCTTACAGTTTAGGAGGCTGGGCAGTTGAAGATATAGGTGCCAGTAGGCTTGGATTCTGATGAGACCTCTCTCCTTGGGTTGCAGATGGCCACACTCCCCTCGAGTCCTCATTTGGCCTCTTCTCTGCGCCTGTGCATGGAGAGAGATGGATCTCTGGTGTCTCTTCCTCTTCTGAGGCCATCGGTGTTATATTGGATTGAGGCTCCGCCCTTATCACCCCATTTAACATTAATTACCTCCCTAAGGGCCTATCTCCAGACATAGTCAAGTTGGGGTTGGGCTTCCACAGAAGGCTTTGGGAGGATACAGTGCAGTTCATAACAAGGCAAAGTAAAGTAACTTCTTTAGGACATGCAAATTTTATTAAGAGATTTCTTTGAAATCTCAGCGTGACTTAAGGGTTTGCTTACATAGAATCTAAGAGCAATAATTGTGCTGTGTGAAAAGCTGGAAACTTGGTCTGCCAGATCCACTTTCATTCTGCATGGACGTTGATACTTCCCAGTTCCCTTGTCTGAAAAAAAATAATGTATTAAGAAAAAAATAAAGATCTCAGTATTTTATAAAACATGACATATAACATAAATATATTCTTTCAAAGTATAATAATGGCCAAGATTCACCTGCTTTGAAAATGGTAAGACATCATTATATTCATTCTAAACTTGCTCATATCTCCATAAATGTGTTCCCTCTCCTTTCCCTCAGCAAAGATGAACTCCTAATTTTAAAAGTTACTGTCTGTTTACTAATAAGTATTTTCAGTGATATTCATTTGCTTTATTATCATTTTCTCCAACTCCAAATATTTTTTTCAATTTATTTAAACTTAAAAAAAAAGTATACACATTTCTTCGATCCCTCTACCCCCCACCTCTGGCGACCACCAATCTATTCTTTGTATCTATCACCTTGGGGTTTTGGTTTGTCTTTTTAAAATATGTTTTTATTGATTTCAGAGAGAGGAAAGGAGGGGGAGAGCGAGAGATAGAAACATCAATGATGAGAGAGAGTCATTGATTGGAATTGAACTGTGACCTCCTGGTTCATAGGTTGATGCTCAGGCACTGAGTCATGCTGGCCGGGTGCCTATTCATTTGTTTTTAACTTCTAAGTTGTTTCTTTCACTTTTGGGAATAGGAGAGACAGTATATTTGAAGAGAAGGAAGAGCTGGATTCTATTTCAATAAGTGTGTGACATTTTCTCTCCTAAAGTTTGGGCGTCAATTTTTCATCTGCAGAGGAGAGTGCAAATACATTTTCCCATCACCTCTGTAGGGCTCTGTGAACTAAATTCTGTTATGTATGTGGAGACACTTTGGTCCTTTGGGAGAAAAGCTTCATAACTGTTGCTTCTAGTTCTTCCTACTGTGTGTCCTTGAGCAAGTCACTGAACCAGCTGCTTACGTTTCTCTGCCCCCTTCCCTGCCTCCCCCTCACCTCTCTTTTTTTAAGGAAGAAAAAATGCTCTTCTCCCCATAGACAAGCCAGTAAATTTAAATTGCTTTAAATATCTTTAAAAGTACTTGAAGATGTTCAGAAAAAACTGATGTTATTTGCCCTTTGACTGATTGTTTTACACATATGCAGTATATTTTAATGCAATCTTGAATATGATTATTAGAAGTTTTTTACATTATACAGAATACTAGAAATAGAGTTTTGAAACCTACAATAGTTCTTTAGATTACCCCCCTTTTTTTTGTCAAGTACCTCCCTAGCTCCATCAATTTCGAACTTCTCAGTGGAAAGTGGTTAGAATGCATGGTTTTTAAAAAAGTTGTGGTTAAATATACATAACATAAAATATACAATTTAACCATGTTTAAGTCTACAATTCAGTGAAATTAATACATTCACGTTGTTATGCAATGTATGCATCTCTTTTTGAAAAATATAGATTCCAAAGTTACTTAACAATATTTGCTTTGTGAATCTATATTGTTATTAAAATTAAGTAGTGTGGACTATACTGGATTTTGCTCTTTCATTTTGAAGGAAGCCATGAGATTTCTAAAACATGGTAGGTGTTGATTTCATTGGTCATGCTTCCTTTATCTCATTTCATTTCTGAAAACAACCTGAACAGCCTAATCGTTCATACACAATAAATATGTTTAACTCACATCTCTTTTGTTGCTGCAGGTTGCGGTGCAGGCAGGAATGAACTCAGGGACAGCCGTGTCAAAAGGACTGTATCAACCAGCAACCATCTTTATGGGCTGCCAAATGTCAGCTGTCTCAAGCATTGGAGACTTCAGTACAGTGCAGAAATCTTCCCAACCCACAAAGAACTTCTCGATTCCTGACCCACATTCACACCAGCAGACAGCCCAGAGCTGCGCCGTGACAGACAGCTATGTAGTACAAACTCACAGTGACACACCGTGCTTAAATAAGTCTAACAAAACGGAGGGAAAGACATCTCTTCAGATTGGTGAGAAGACGCTAGTCACAGCCAGGGTGTTGTCTGAGGAGGAACAAGCTCATTGCTTGGAGATAGGAAGCAGCACGCGTCATGGGAAGAGTAATTTATCTGAAGGCAGAAAGTCGGCTGAACTCCATTCCCTGTTACAGGGAAGATTAAGTCCAGAGAACAGAACCACTGATTTAAAGTGTGACAGTTTCAGCAGATCAGAGGGATCACAGGGAGAAGTACTGACACAAGAACATATTGGAGTCAAGGAAGAAAGAGCCAGACCGCCTGTCTCTCCGATATCAGCCTCAGAATACCCTGTATCTGAAAGGAAGTGTCCGCAAGACGAGCATTCCGAGGGGGAAGGTTTCTCAGGTGGGGTGAGAGGCTGAGATTCTTTGCTGATTTTTGTTAGTATTTAGTTTCTCTGGTTGGTATTGGTCTTATGTAAGAATAAAATATACACTAATTTCAATCTTTTTGTCAAAAAACAAAGTAGTGTCTTTGCCAACAAATTTCGTTCTAACAAATTCTAAAATGTGTATTTGGAAATATTTTTGCAAATAGATTCTCTCATTTTTAAACCCACTGTGATGTTTTTAAAAATATTTTTAATGAATTTTTAAATACTATAATGAGTTGTGGATTGTTGCTCCTGTTTTTAACTGATGTAGTAATTCCGTCTGTGAGGTGGAACATCTTACCTTGCCTCTCCCTGAAGTTAGTGACCAGTAATCTATTCATATCTCCTCTCACAGATCATCTTCCTCATGCGGACCCAGAGTCACAGAAACCCTTCAGGAAAATGCAGGAAGAGCAGGAGGAGGAAAGTCTGAGCAGCAGCAGTGGCCTCACAGTTTCTCTAAGTGAAGATGATCTGATTTTCAAGAGTCCAGAACCACTACCAAATCCAGGTGACAAGATGGAGGGAGAAGATGGAATAGAGGCCTTAAAATTAATCCACTCTGAGCAAGAAAGAGATGCCCCATCCACTGAAAAGCATAATTGTATTTTGCAAACTCTAAGCTCTCCTGATTCAAAAAAGGAATCCTCTTCTAACTCACCAACAAGACAGTAAGCCATTCAATTTTTTTATAGTCCTATTTTTAATTATAGACATTTTTAGAGACCATTCTACTTGGAATGTATTATTGAACTCTCAGTCATGAATGTGTAAGTTCCTTAAGTCTCATAAATAGTCTTTTAGGTAAGATATAATTTTCTTTCCCCCCTCATTTTTATGAAATAGCTTCAAAAATCTGAATATCATTGGAATCATGGTGACTGGCCATTTATAATCATATCCAAACAATCCCTGGTTAATTCATAAGTTATTCCCCCTACCCACCATCTTTTTAGGAAATAAATCATTTTAAAGTTCTGGTAACACAGAAGGTAACAAACTGTTAAACTTACTAGGAATTCAGCTTTAGAGACTAAGAAGTTGTATCTAATTGATTTGCTTAATCCTTTCATCCATTGCCAAAGTATCATTTTTGTCATTCGGTTAAATAGGAGTTAATAAATTCTTCTAGGGGTATTTAAGCTAGCTTTTCTTTTCCAAATGTAAATATGAGGACACTGGAATTTTTAATGTTAAATCAGAATAACATGAGTCTTATATATTTTGAGCATTTATAATATTCAACTCATAAAAGCTCATATATGATTTTTTTACTATTGATTGGAGATACTGGGTAAAATTGTAAGACAACATGAAAACTGTTGAAGGCCAATTCTGTAATTAAATATATATATATATACATATATATATATGTATATATATATATATCACATCTCTTTTAGAAATAGAAGGAACCTAAGTAAACAAACTAAGGCAAATATCATCTTTTAAAAATGAGGAAACCAAGGCCAGGGGCGTAAGGGGTGACATGTAGGCCACTAGGGCAGACCCTCCATACAGCCTCACTGCCCCCCACACTGCCCCCAGGACTTTGTTACACCCAGAAGCTGTCATTTGTTCTTTCCTACAGCCCTGGCAAGAGTGAAAAGGCAAGTGGACATTCTTGTATATGAGGGTATACGTTCTCTTTTAAGCACCATTGTACCTTTTAATATATTGCTTCTTACAATTTATTATCTACTTTTAGTGAAAAGTTTAATTTATAGTATGATTGACTCCAAACTGATGTTTAAGAAATACTTATTAAGAGCACATCCAAGTTCAAAGTACTTGCTCTGTGGACAGAAAAACCAACATGGTGCCTGTTCTTGGAAAATTTGGTTTATTGCAGAGGCAGGCCAAATGGATTTTTCTAGTAGTAATACTTCTCTTTCATTAAAGAGGTACATCAACATACTATGCCATTAGAAACTTCATTGCTAAAGATAGAATGTATCTGTTTTGGGTTTTCTATTTGCAGGCTTTTTATAGCAATTCATTGGACAAGTTAATATTTTGGTAGCTAACTAGGGGAATAGTGTAAAGTTTACCCAGGACTCAGTCTTTTTCTGAGATGAAAAAAGTTGTGTATTTTATCTGAAAACTTATCACCCAATCCAAGATCACCTAGATTTCCTCCTATGTTATCTTCTAGAAATATTGTTTGACCTTCATATGTATGATCCATTTTGAGTTAATTTTTGTGAAAGGCATAAGCTCAGTGTCTGGATTCATTTTTTAAAATTTGTATGTCTACTTCTTGCAGTACTATCTGTTAAAAAAAAAAAGTATACTCTTTCCATTGAGTTGTCTTTGCTCCTTCATAAAAGGACAGTTGTCTGTATTTGTGTGGGTCTATTTCTGGATTCTCTGTTCTGTTCCATTTATTTATTTGCTTCTTCACCAATATCTCTCTGTCTTGGTCATGGTAGCTTTATAGTAAATCTTGAAATCATGTAGTGAGAGCCTTTTTACTTAGTTCTTCATTGGCTCCTCTGTGTCCTTTGCCTTTCCCTATAAACTTTAAAATCTTTGCATGAACTTGAAATATCTCTCCATTTATTTAGATTTTATTTAATTTATTGCATTGGTTTTGTAGTTTTATGTACATATATTATACTTAATTTTAAGTACTTTGAGTTTTTGGTGCTAATATAGATAGTATTGGATTTTTACTTCAAATTCCAATTTTTTATTGTTTCTATACAAGAAAACAATTGACTTTTATATATTAACCTTATATTCTGCAACACTGCTATAGTCGCTTATTAGCTCCAGGAGGTTTTGTTTTGTTTTTGTCAATTCTTTGGGATTTTCAACATACACAAGCACGTTATCTGTGAATAAAGATAGTTTTATTTCTTTCTTCTTAATCTGTATGCCTTTTCTTTTCTTGTCTTATTGCATTAGCTTTTAGTACAGTGTTGAAAGTAATTGTGAGAGGGAACATCCTTGCCTTGTTCCTGGTCTCATGGAGATAGCATCTAGTTCTTCCTGTTTAAATAAAATGCTAGCTGTAGTGTTTTTCTGGATGTTCTATATAAAGTTGAGAAAGTGTCCCTCTATTTCTAATTTGCTGAGAGTTTTTATCATGAATGAGTGTTGACTTTTGTCTCATACTTTTTCTGCATCTAATAATATAATCATCTGATTTTTCTTCTTTAGCTAGTGGGTTGGTGGATTACATTAATTGATTTTCAAATGTTAAATCAGTCTTCTATGCCTGGAATAAAATCCACTTGGTATGGTGTATAATTTTTTTTACACATTATTAGATTCAGTTTGCTAATATTTTGTTAAGGAATTTTCCATCTATGTTCATAAGAGACACTGATCTGTAGTTTTCCTTTCTTGTAATGTCTTTATTTGGTTTTGGTGTAAGGGTAATGCTAGCCTTATAGAATGAGTTAGGAAATAATTCCTCTGCTTCTATCCTCTGAAAGAGATTAAAGAGAATAGGTATAATTTCCTCTTTAAATATTTGGTAAAATTCACTGGTAAACCCATCTGGGCCTGGTGCTTTCTCTTTTGGAAAATTATTAATTATCGATTCAATTTTTAACATTATTTTATTACTATTATATATTTATCTTTGTGTGCGATTTCATTGTGTCCTTCAAGAAATTGGTTAGTTTCACCTAAGTATTCAAATTTGTGAGCATATAGTTGTTTATACTATCTCTTTATTATCCTTTTCTTTAAATGATACTACTCATGTTTAATAGTTCATTGATTTTTAGAGAGAGAGGAAGGGAGAGGTAGAAAGAGAGAAACATCGATATGAGAGTGAACCATCAATCGGCTGCCTTGGCTGCCTCCTGCACACTCCCTACCAGGGATTGAGCCCAAACCCCTGCAGCCTGGGCATGTGCCCTGACCGGGAATCACAGCTGCAGCTTCTTTAGTGCATGGATGATGCCCAACCAACTGAGCCACATGGGCCAGGGCTCCTTTATTATCGTTTCAATATCCATGGGATCAGTACTGATGGTCTCTCATTCATTTCTGATATTCGTCTTTTCTCTCTTTTTTTCTGGTTAGCTTGGTGTTATGGACTGAATTTTAGTGTCCCCCAAAATTCAACAGCACCAACACCGAATGTGTTGTAGATAGGGCCTGTGAGGAGGTTGTAAAGTTTAAATAAGGTTGTAAATGTGAGGCCCTAATCTTATAAAGCTAGTGCCCTTATAAGTAGAGGAAGACACCAGAGCGCTTTCTTTGCCATCTGAGAACATAGTAAGAAGGTCTTAACAGGAACCAAATAAACTAGCACCTTGAACTTGGATGGCTCCTCTACTCTACCACAGACCCTGCCTCCAGAATTGTGAAAAATAATTTTCTGTTATTTAAGTCATCCGGTTTGTGATATNAACTTGGATGGCTCCTCTACTCTACCACAGACCCTGCCTCCAGAATTGTGAAAAATAATTTTCTGTTATTTAAGTCATCCGGTTTGTTACCGAGTTTGGAGCAGACTAAAATTATCCATTTTGTTAATTTTTTTGTTTGTTTTTTCCAGAGAAGCAGCTTTTTGTTTTGTTGATTTTCTCTATTTTTCTGTTTTCAGTTTTATTGGACTTCTGCTCTAAATTTTATTATTTCTTTCTTTTTGCTTACTTTAGATTTAATTTGTTCTTTTTTCTAGTTTCCTAAGGTGGAAGTTTAGATTATTGATTTTAGATCTTTCTTCTTTTCTAATATATGCATTTTTAACACTATAAATTTCCCTGTAAGTTCACTATATGAAGCAACTATGTTGCTTTTGCTGTGTTCCACAATTTTTGATAAGTTGTATTTTCATTTTTATTCAGCTCAAAATATTTTTAAATTTTTATTTAGATTTCTTCTTTGACTCATGTCAAAGAGTTCTGGTTACCTGCATTTTACTATGTTCCACTGACATGAGTTCTGCACTCAGGAGTGGGGGGGGGCGGGCCCCGCAGGGTGGCTTTCCTAGTTTTATGGCTCCAGAGCTCCCCCTTCTGTTGTTCTCCAAGAATGTTTATAGGTGTGGGCTCTTACTTTCTTAGGTCTCTTGGCTTTTATCCCATCCTCCACTTTAAGTAGAAAAATTATTTCTTCTGCCCTTATTGTCTTAGTTCAGCTCAGTTTAGAGTTCACCCCCAGGGGTTTCTCCTCAGTGTGGAACTTTCCTGCTGAAAGGGCACTGGTAAGGCTCTGGAATTGTAGGGCCCAGATGGCTCCTCTCCCACAGTTCCTTCATTCTCACCATTGACGTGGACCTGCAGGCCCGCTTCTAGAGGGGCTGCTGCTACTCATGGATGGTTGGAGGTTGTTTTGCTGTCACACAACATGTCCTTTTGCTGTCCCTCCACTTCCTCCTACACATTTGTAGTTATAACAAGGGGTTTGTTGTTCTCACTATGGCCCACTTATATTTTGTCCCCTAATTTTGAAATAGATATTAAACATGAGTTATTGGTTTGCTTTCTTCCCCTCCCTTCCCCCTCCCCTCTAAGGAAATTTGGAAAATTAAAGAAGAAGACAGACAGTGAAAGACAATGCTATTACTGTTTACCTAGACTTTTTTTAAACATTTGATATTTAAGTAAATTATGACACTTTGGGGAGATGTCCCAATGGAGTGTTAAGGTGCCATGTCCCAGCACTATGGGAGTCCAACAAGAGATGTAGGGGGAGGTAGGGGAGG